ACCTAACAACAACAACAATCTTTACAGAAGCAGGCTGCCACATCTTCTGTGGAGCAGCTGGTGGGTTCAAACTGCCCACCTTTGACTTAGCAGCAGAGTGCTTAACCTCTGTACCACCAGGAATCTTCCCCTGCAGTCCATTACCAAATTAATTAACAATACTTATTCACATCATGTGACTGTGTCATGACAGACTTTTTCTTCCTTCCTTCCTTCCTTCAAATCAAAGACGGCAACACCCATCTTTTTCCCATTTCACATGCTCTTTTTACAGTGGGACGGGGGGATCCTATGTTCCATCTCCTTGAACTTGGGTAGACCTTGTGGCACTCTCACTCACTGGCCGTATCAGAAATGGCACTGTGTGAATAAGGCAGGGTCATAAAAGGCAATGTGGCTTCTGGTGATGCTTGCTCTTGGAAGCCATCCACCATGGTGTAGTGGTGGTGGTGATGGTGGTTATGTGCCGTAGAGTCGGTTCCAACTCATAGTGACCCTGTACAGGGTTTCTGAGGCTGTAAATCTTTATGGGAGCAGAAAGTCTCATCTTTCTCTTGAGGAACAGCTAGTAGTTTCGAACTGCTGACCTTGAGGTTAGCAACCTGACTCGGATATTGGGTTATCTCCCAACTTCAAATTGGGTATTTGTACCACTTTGCTTTTTGCTAAAGGTAATATAGAAATGGGTACAGGCGTACATTGACAGAGAACTTCCAGAGGTTCAAGCCAGATTCAGAAGAGACCGTGGAACAAGGGATATTATTGCTGATGTCTGATGGATCTTGGCTGAAAGCAGAGAGGAAGCTACCAGAGAGGAAGCCTATTTGTAGAGACCACGTGAAGCTAGACTGACCAACTAGCCCTGCCAGACTCTCAGCTGACAGCCCTATTAACCAGCAGCTGTGTGAAGGAACCAAATACTAATGTCTCAGTTGTACCCCATCTGAATTTCTGACCAACAGAAACTGTGAAAGACAATAAATGATTATTATTGTTTTAAGGAACTAAACGTTGGGGTCATCTGTTATACAGCCAAAGATAACTAATACATGTACTTACCAGAAGGTTTCTTGAGTAATTCTTTCAGACACATCTCTTTGTACTCAGCCCACTTCCGAGTTGTGTCCTCAAGGAGAGAGGCTCTGACCTGAGCAGACAAAAGCACAACTAACTCTCAAAAAACATCATTTGGGCCTTGCTGTCATCTGGCATCATGATTCTTAGACATTGCTGCTCAAGTACCCCTAGTGGCCTGAACCAAGAACAGAACGTCTTTGATGTCTTCTGTCTTCTGCTCAACCTTAAAAATGCTGTACATATCAAAAAGCAAACAAATAAAAAACCAGAGGGAATGGAAGCAAATACTGTTGAACGATGATGCACGAAGGAGATCGTAATCATTGCAATGAAACAATGAGTGTAAAAACCGAGGTTCTCCCATGTAAACTATCACTCAATTCAGAATAAAAACTTAAAAAAATAAATGCTGTACATGCACAGTTTGCATCTGACCCATAACCTAAATATACCGGTTTTAATACAAATAAAAGAGTTTTTCTTTCAAAATCTGCAAGTGAGGTTGACATTTGAAAAGGAGGCAATGTGCTTATCTCGAAGTTTCACACCATCGTAGTCAAGTAGTTGCACACTTGAGAAACTGTGCGGATCCCAAAGAGAAACAGCATCACACAAAGAAAGCCACAATAATGTGTCAGGAAAGGGCAGGAGGATAGTAGGGGCCTGAACCATCCATTCAGGGCCTGTGGGTCCAGAGTCAAAGACAGTGAAGATACAGATGCTTTGCTGCTGTACCCAGACTTTAGGATTTTTTTCTTTCTAATACTAACTACCTTGTCCCATTAAAAAAAAAACACAACACTGTTTCAAGTCGGCTCTGACTCATAGCAACCTCTTATAACAATGTAAAACAGCTTCTTGGGATTTTCTTGGCTGTAATCTCTGGTAGCGTAGTGGTTACGAATCGGGCTGCGAGCCTTAAGGTCAGCGGTTCGAAACTACCAGCCGCTCCGTGGGAGAAAGATGAGGCTTTCTACTCCCGTAAAGATTTACACCCTCGGAAACCCTGTACAGGGTCGCTATGAGTTGGAACCAACTCCATGGCATACAACAACAACAACAACAATCTTTACAGATCACCAGGATTTTCTTCCACAGTGCCACTGGCTAAGTTTAAACCACCAACCATTTGCAACACCTGGGGACTTTCCCATTTCATGTTGTTGTTAGGTGCCATCGAGTCAGATGCACAGCAGAACGAAACACTGCCTGGTCCTGGGCCAACCTCACAATTGCTGCTACATTTGAGTCACTGATGCCGCCTCTTTGCCAATCCATCTCGCTGGGGTCTTCCTCTTTTTCTCTGACCCTCCACCTTACCAAACATGAAGCCTTTCTCCAGAGACTGGTCTTTCCTGACAATATGTCCAAAATATAAGACACGAAGTTTGGCCATCCTGGCCTCCAAGGAGCATTCTGGCTGCACTTCTTCCAACGCAGATCTGTTGGTTCTTTTGGCAGCCCATGGCACTTTCAATATTCACCTCCAACAACATAACTCAAAAGCATCAATTCTTCTACAGTCTTCCTTATTCACTGTGCAACTTTCACATGCATATGAGGTTCCTGGAAACACTATGGCTTGGGTCATAGAAACTTGGAAATAAAACAAGCTTTTTGGACTTTCCAGAATATTGGGTTATCTCTCAACTTCGAATTGGCTATTTGTACCTCTTTGCTTTTAGCTAAAGGTCATACAGAAACGGCTACAATCATACATTGACAGAGAACTTCCAGAGGTTCAAGCCAGATTCAGAAGAGGCCATGGAACGAGAGATATCATTGTTGATGTCCGATGGTTCTTGGCCAAGAGCAGAGAGTATCAGAAAGATGTTTACCTGTGCTTTATTGACTATGCAAAGGCTTTCGATTGTGTGGATTATGACAAGCTATGGAACACATTGTGAAGTATGAGTATTCTGGAACACTTAATTGTGCTCATGAGGAATCTGTATCTGGACCAAGAAGCAGTTGTTCGAACAGAACATGGGAACACTGAATGGTTTAAAAATTAAAAAGGTGTGTGACAAGGTTGTATTCTTTCACCATACTTATTCAACTAATCTGAGAAGCTGAGTTCTATGAAGAAAAATATGGCATCAGGATTGGAGGAAGACTCATTAACAACCTGCGATATGCAGATGATACAATCTTGCTTGCTGAAAGAGAAGAGGACTTAAAACATTTACTGATGAAGATCAAAGAGCACAGCCTTCAGTATGGATTACATCTCAAGATAAAGAAAACAAAAATCCTCACCACTGGACCAATAAACAACATTCTTATCAAGGGAGAAAAGATTGAAGTTGTCAAGGACTTCATTCTTCTTGGATCAACTATCAACACTCACGGAAGCAGCAGTCAAGAGATCAACGATGTCTTGCATTAGGCAAATCTGCTGCACAAGACCTTTTTAAAGTGTTGAAAAGCAAACACATCAGCTTGAAGACTAAGGTGCACCTGACCCAAGCCATGGTATTTCAATAACCTCATATGCATGTGAAAGCTGGGCAGTGAATAAGGAAGATCATAGAAGAATTGATGCTTTTGACTTATGGTGTTGGAGGAGAATATTCAAAGTGCCATGGACTGCCAAAAGAACCAATAGATCTGTGTTGGAAGAAGTGCGGCCAGAGTGCTCCTTGGAGGCCAAGATGGCCAAACTTCGTCTTTTATACTTTGGACATATTGTCAGGAGGGACCAGTCACTGGAAAAGGATATCATGTTTGGTAAGGTGGAGGGTCAGAGAAAAAGAGGAAGACCCTCAAAGAGATGGATTGGCTAAGTGGCAGCATCGATGGACTCAACTATGGCAACAACAGTAGTGAGGTGGGCCCAGGATCGGGCAGTGTTTCGTTCTGCTGTGTTATGCATAAGGTCGCTATGGGTTGGTGCTGACTCGATGGCACCTAACAATAACAACCACTTTGCTGTTATTGTTGTTTTAAAAGGTTCTCTCTTCTATTATTCAATTTGCTCTTCTGTATTGAGCACTTTTTGTGTGCCAGCCCTTGCACTAAGGAGGAATTGAAAGGTCTGTAAAGATGAACAAGAGAATCAGCACCTCCACGTGCATCAGCGTAGAGCTGTGCTCCACAGGGTTTTCAATGGCTGCTTTGGAAGGAAATTGCCAGGCCTTTCTACTGTGGCACTCTGGGAGGATTCACACCTCCAACATTTTATTAGAAGTCAAACACATTAACCACAGATAAGACAATTGTAGAATATTCTGGAATACAAAGTTGAGTGACATTTTTGCCCTTTTATCCTCTACTCTCAAAAAGGTTCTTCACCTTGTGCTCAGTCTCAGGTGCTAATATCCTATCACACAAACCAAACACCCAGGAGCCTTGCTCTCACCTCCACATTTAACCAGTCACCAGATTCTTTTGAACTCTACCCCTTAATTTTTTTCCTGCCTCCCATTTGGCACCCCCTCCATCCTTGGTGGTTTGTTCCACAGTCTGTTCCTGGCCTTGTTTTGGCTGATGAGAATGAGCTGCTCCAACATTTCTCCCCACATCTGTAGACAACTTGATTCTTGTCTATTCTATCTAGTGAGATCCACATGCATAGTTGCCATTTGATGTTAAGTGCTATTGAATTGGTTCCAACACATATTGACCCTTTACAGGGTTTCTGAGGAGCTGCTGGTGAGCTTGAACTGCTGACCTTGCAGTTTAAACTGCAGCGCATTAATGCAGAGTGTCACACCAGGACTCCATATATGTTACTGAAAAAAGGTATTTGCAATGAACAAGTCTTTGATCTTGCAAATTTCTATCAGGCAATATCCAGCATCGTTTCTATCACCAAGGCCATATTTTTCAACTACTAATTCTTTCTTTTCGTTTCCAACTTTTACACTCCAATAAGCAGTAATTATGAATGCTTCTTAATTGCATGTTTGATCCATTTCAGGTTGAAAATATTGGTAGAATTCCTCCATTTCATCATCTTTGGCTTTAGTGGTTGGTGTGTAAATTTGAATAACGATGGCATTAACTGGTTTTTCTTATAAGCACAAAGCTGTATGTATTATCTTATCACATACAGTTTGGTGCTTCTAGATCTTGAAATGCTACTTTTAACAATGAATGTAATGGTGTTCCTCTTCAAGTTGTTGCTCCTGGTATAGTAAACCATATGACTGTCTTATTCAAAATGGTTAATTCCAGTCCATTTCAGCTCACTGATGCCTAGAATATCAATCTTTCTATGTTCCATTTCATTTTTAATGATTCATACTTTGTACATTCCATATTCTGATTCTTAAATGTTATCTGCAACTGTTCCTTCTCATTTTGAGCTGTGCCCCATGAGCCAATGAAGGTCCTGAAAGTTTTACTCCATCCACATACATCATGAAAGTCAATTCTTTGAGAAGGCAGTTCTGCAATCATATTTTCAATGCCTTCCAACCTGAAGAACTCATCTTCCGGTACTATATCAGACAATAGTCCAGTGTTCTTCATAAGGTTTTTAGCGGCTAACCATTCAGAAGTGGTCCCCCTCTCCCCCTTCCTAATCTGGAAGTTCCACTGAAACGTATCCACCCAGGGTGACCCTGGTGGCATTTAAAATACCAGTGGCATAGCTTCCAGATTCACAGCAGCACACAAACCACCACAGTACGACAAACGGACACAGTATGACAAACTGACAGACAAGTGGTTACACAACACTTCTAGATCAAGAGAAATACCTAAAGTCCTACTTCTTAAACTGTTGTTGTTGTTGTTAAGTGCCGTCAAGTCGATCCTGACCCATAGCAACCCTGTGTAGGGTTTCTGAGGAGCAGCTGGTGAGCTTGAACTGCCAACCTTGCAGTTCAAATGGCTTTGCAGTCTTAAATACGTAGGCCCAAACAACGAAACCAGGGCTGGTGTCTTAATACCTTGGTGCCTATTGAACACTACACTGCTTTTCCAATCCTAGAATCAGACTGGGCATTGACTTCCATTTTAATTTCTGATTCTGTATTGATTTTCATGTCATGCTTGCTTTTTATATGCAAAAAAACCCACAAAACACCACAAACTCAGTTTTGCAAAGTTCTGATGACATCA